TTTGTCGTGGAATAATCAGAGAACCATGAAGCTGGTTATCAATTTTCCAATTGTTCTGATCTTATGAAAATGGGGGAATATGAATAAAAATGGCCGTCATTGCTAAACAGGTAATGCAAATTTTTCATTAAGCCCTTTAAATTAAAGCTGTAAGTCTCACTTATATCACATATTGATAGTTTGATTTAAAATCCAACGAAATGATGTAGAGACGCAAAAAAAAGGACCTAGCTGCATTTTTGGGTGAAGCTTCCATAAACCAGTTGGAACAGTTAACACCTGTTCAGGCCAGACGGCACAGGAATATGAGCATAATTGTACGTTTGAACCACACGACTCTATTGCTGAGGCCAGTTCACTTTTTTTGGTGATAAAAGTTTTTTAAGATTCCATTTTTCTCAACATGTCTTTGACAAATGTGTGGACAGGGCCTGTGTTGATCCTTCAGGAACACAGCTCAGAGTCAAACTGAAATCACTGTGGAGGTCAAACTCTAAAGAAAACATTTACTCGAGAGAACAGAATAAATAACAAAAGACACTTGGAGCGTGTTCTTGTACCAGCTCTGTTTGGAGTCGCTCGTTCTCCTCCTTCGCTTCCTGCAGTTGTTCGTTCAACTTGGCTAATCTCTGGTCAGCAGCCTCCCTGAGGCTTTTCTCCTCATCGTAACGGGACTTCAAATCTGTTGGATTCAGTGATGGAAAAAATGGGAAAAAAAAGAAAAAATTTAATCAGATTTATCCCGGAAAATACTCATTCCTTGAGGCTGGGTTGAAAAACGAAAAAATTCTGAATAAGGTCAAATGGATTTGTAAAAGGAAAATAAATAAATGATGATGCAGACCCACAGACACAGGCCTCCCAGTTGTCCGGCCGAACACTAACCTACTATCTCTGTGGCCAGCTGGGCAGCCTTCTGCTCAAACAGGTCTTTCATCTGTTTGATGTTGAACTTCTCTGTCTCAGCTTCATTCAGCTTCCTTTCAAGTACTGAAAAACAGCATGACATATTAGCGACTGATGATCTGCTGTGTAGTTACACGTGCACTTTAAGGGTCCCCTACCTGAATCATCCGCGCTCATCTGCCCATCGTTCTGCGGATGTGAGCGAATGAGAGAAACACTGCATTAGCATCATGTTTTATATTCACAAAGTCACCTCTTCATTAAAACATGTTTTTTTTTTATCTTGAAGCATTTACCTGCTTCAGGTGTCCTTGGACTTTGTCTAACTCCTTTTTTAGCTCACCAGAGAACCATCTTTCCTCCTAACCATGAAAAACACACTCATAAATCAAGTTTGCAGAATCATTTACACCGCTCGCTAACAGGTACAGTTTAAACGCAGCTATACCTTGAGAGAAGTGTGCAGGTCCTGGACCTCCTGCCGCAGCATTGTGAGGTCTTCCCTAAAAGAGAAAAAAAATACCATGTTGATTAAAAAAAACAAACACTAAATTAAACACTGCCACAAACGTACTGCGGTCAGTCTCTATGCTTTGATCAGAAACGCTAATCTCACCTAGTGGGGGCCACGTGAGCAGGGAGGTCTCCGGTATCATGGAACAGCTCATAGTGCTTGAACAGCTCCTCTGCAGAGTTGTGAGACTTCATGCACTGAGGACAGATGAAGCCCTGCACACAGAAGTATGCCATTAATGAAAACTGCTTCACTTAAAAAAAACATAAAAACAGCAAAAACTAAAAGAAAAAACAAAAGTAGAAGTTCTCAGTTAAAAGCAAAGTGCATCCACATTACCTCAGATGTCTGATCGTGGTTAAGGTCGGTGCTGGGCTGCTCTGACTCTGCATTCTGAGACCCTCCCTTCCCGGGAGTCTGGTGAACAGAAAATAAGACTTTTATGATGAAGCTCAATACCTCAACGCGACAAAATTAAAAGTCCATAACTTATAACATTGTGATCTATTGAAATCACATTGTTATAAGCATTAACAACACCATTTGTTTTAAGATTTAAAATATAACTGAGATGACTCGTGTTTCTCTTCATCTGTAATATTTATAGTAGTTAATAATCTCTGGCAAAGGCACATATCTGTCTATGTAAAGTCTGACATATTAAAGAACCTAAAGTCACATTTACCCATACATTCATTCAGTAAGTTCTTCTATGCACTTCTAAGCGAATTATCTTCATCAGTTCCACAGCCAAGCTAACATTCATGTCTTTTGAGTGTAGGAGGAACATGCAAACTCCACATAGGAAGGTCCCAGCCAACCAGGAGATTCAAACCCTGAATTTTCTTACTGTGTAACAGTGCTTACCAGTGCATAACCTGACCATGTGGAACTAAAACACCCTACAGAGCCTGGATCTAGGATTGTGTTAAGGCACAGATCTGGAGCTTCGACACTTCTTCAAGGGAAGATTTTTAGAACGCCAAGAGTCATTCTAGCCCTAACTGCTAAGGCCAAACTAAGCTATCGGGCACCTGGGCTTCATGATAAAGAGGCAAGGTAGAGGCCTTTCTAGCAAGAGACACATGAAAGCTGCCTGGAGTTACGAAAAGAAAGGACCTCGACTGTGAGAAACAACATCCACTAACCAAGCAGGAACTATTTGATCTCAATGCTAAGTGTCATGTCAGGAGCACACTTTGTAATCTGGCTAGGAAATATTTTTAAAATTTCCCCAAGACTGACTTTCCTTGTACAGTTCCTATCAGTGCTTCCAGCATTTCACATATATGACGCTGTGGTGCTAGTGTGGCTATGCTTCGGTCACAGATTCAGTTTTAAAAGCAGCAATGATTTACCTAGACTATCTGCCTTTCCTGTGTTATTGCATATCAATAACTATTTAACATATGTGTTTACAAATTTTCTGTGACTTCATGAAATGTGCAAGGCTTTAGCCCACTGGCCTGAAAAACAAACACATTAGCTAGATGTTCCGCAGGTTTTCCATTCACAAAAAGGATTTATTGGTGCAGGTGACGTGAATGAAAGAGGTCAAAATTAGTGTTTGTGCAAGTTGGGCATTCAGCAAAGACTGACCTAAGTTTGTTTAAAGGCTGACTTAAGGGTTGGGTTGCATTACGGAGCAACCTTTAACCCTAGTTCAACAAATAGTGTGTGTGTGTGTGTGTGTTATGTAATATTACTAGCCTCAAAAATAAATATACATACATTAAAAATATACAAAACTGTATTATACTACAGGCCTTCTTCAATAATAGCAACTGCATTACCAGTGGGATTATTATTGTACATTTTTTTGAAATGGACTGGAAATGCAATATTTGTCATCTTTTAAACTGCTGTTAAAACCTGTTGAAATCCCTTTAAGGTCAAGGGTGGTGTTGCAACTGTGATATGGCAAAGGTATAAAATGAACTGCAATCAGTATCTTGTGGCCTGATAAGTATTTGAACCTATCAAATTACCTGAGTGTCTAATCACTCTGTAAATAAGGTGGTTCAAAAGCAACTTCTCTTATATAAAAAGGGGTGAGATGTGAGCTGTCTTCTCTAAACAGAGCATGTCTCCCTTTAGTCCTATTAACCCATAATAATAGCCAAAAGGTGGTGACGGTTACAAAGCTGCTACTTCTTATTTTGGCTGCTCCCTTTAGGACTTGCCATAGGGGATCATCTACCTTCATCTTACCCTATCCATACTATCCCCTCTGTTGCACCAACCCCCTGCATGTATTCAACATATCCAAACTATATCAGCCTTTCCTCTCTAACTTTGTCTCCAAACCACTCAACCTGGCCTTTTTGTCAGTCCCACTGTCTCTTATTACCATCTTATAATAGGACTTTTCAGTCTTCCTGCCATGCTTCTGTCTCAAATCAGCCCTGACACTTATCTAGACCTCTCTGTTCACGATCTCCAGGTATGTTTAACCTCTTCTGCCTTCACAATTTCCCGTCCTTGCAGCTTCGCTGTTAATAATTACAAGGCTACAGATAATGTGTAAAAACACAGAACAAAACAGTACTAAGCGCTTTAAAAATGTACCGACCTAAATAAAAACGGAATGGGTATTGTGATCTAACTAATGTATACAAACTAACGCGAGGAGCGATGCCTTGTGGTAAATGTAGTCTTCTAAGAAGCTAGCCAAGTAGCTGACCTCTGCTCTTTACTCTCACAATTAACTTTAAAGACAAGCAGCCAGTTTAATTAACCCTGCCAGCATGAACAGTTTTGTGTTTACTTGGTTAAAACGCGTGTTTCTACGTTGTGGTGAGCCAGATGACAACACTTCCCAACACTAGTAGGTAGCTAACGTCACTGTTAGCATGTGACGAGAAGACGATGAATTAACCTACCTACTCCTGTAACATAGCTAGCTAACGGAAAGTACGAATAGAAACTGTGTCAATGACTAAATATATCAGATTTTAAAGCTCTCCCATAATGGAATAACCCTTAAGAGGTATAAAATTTAAGTATATTATAATCCACAGACTAGTTTCATTCCTGTCCACTTTAGCATGCTCGTTTTATCCAAGTTAGCATTTAATGGTTAGCTGTGTCAGCCCAACGCAAGGAGCGCTCGATGTATTCACTCCGACCTGCAGGAACTTTTTCAGCCTACCAGTTCTCACTAGCTAAACGTAAACCCGCCCATCAGCGATACGTTTTGTATCAAAACATTCGTCTCCACCACGAAACCAGACATAGACAGGCCTGTGTCTTCTGAGGAAAACATCTCCAGTTGCCTAAACAAAAATCGATCCCGATGATTGCTTTGTCCCCCGGATAGCTTACCATTTGCAGTATCCGTCTGAGCATAGCCTCGATTGTGTTTTGTCCCGTCAAGAAATCCTGACAGTTTTCAAAATGCCAAGTTTACGTCTGTGAACGGCGAACACCTGACCGGACTCAGGGAACAGCAGCGACGGATGGGCGGGTCATGGAGAGGATGGCTCAGCACCAGGAGGATACACAACCTGGTGATATTCAGGATTACATACAAGAGCCGTCGTGCTCTGCAGCACTCAATAAAAATCTGTCACAATAGTGATTATCTTTAAACGGTGTTTATTTAAATATTTTGCACACAATAGAATACCCCAGTCACACATGGACAATGAGGAAAGATGTTAGATGGGCTTTCCTGCCAATGGTAGCCTAGGAAGTTGAATTATGACATATTTGAGCTTTTTTCCCCTAGGTGTTCAAGGACTTCCATGCACAATACAACGCTTTGAAGCAAGCACCATCAAAAAATAATCACATAAAGAAACGGATTTCCACGATCCACAGTTTATTTCTCCAAAAATAAACGACTCTCAGTTTGATTTTTAACTGTGCACGTTTGGGGGGTTGCTTCAGTTTTTTTCCTTCTTTGCATACTTAATTTTCCATTTCTATGCTTTGTGCTTGTGGTTGGACTGTACCATTGCCACCAGGGGGAGTAGTCTACAGCCTGGTATTAATGGTATAGTCCAAACACTAAGACTAACAATAAATAAAAACAATAATATTAACTTGTGAAGAAACTGGATTAAAGTTTAAAGCAAAGCATCAAATAGAATCAGGCGACCATAATTCCTGTCATACTTTTCGGTCCATGTTTCCCAGCGGAACATAAATTCAGTCACTGTGCACCCTCTGTCGTAAAAGCAAACCCACATTTTTCTTAATGTCCTATGGAGCCCAGCTTCCAAAAACTGGGTTGTTTTGACAGCATGTATAAGGCTTGATTTGTTCTGTTCATTTACTTTGTGTTTATGAAGGCACTTAATGGGAGACTTTGTGCAGCATTTGTCAGACTCTTCTAAGGCATCTCTGCAGATACACTATATAAAACATTTGCTATAATGCACTAGATTATAGTTTTTCTGAGGATATGTGCCATTTCATGTTTGATTCAGTTCACTATATAGAAGTTTTTCTCTAATTTACTCAGTTTTCACTCACATTGACAGCATTCAAATATATACACACATGATTTAAGGCTTGTTCAGTGTCACTAGTGCTTAGAGATGATACTGTGTGCACTGAGGAAGTAATAACAATGCTGTCCACGCTTGCTGCAGAATTTAGCAGAATTCCTTACAAACTTCCCAAGGTAGCAGTTTGTAAAGTCCATCCATAGACTTGCAGCTACTCTTTTTCAAACATCTTGCACATTGTTTGGCACTGAGTCACTGTGGGAATAAGGCTTCCTCCAGGAGCCAACACTTCCCCATACCGCCTCCAGGAAATCACCAGCACACAGTGTGTGCCGCCAGTCAAATATACAACATCTAATACTAAACAGGCCTTTATATTGCATAATCAGTGCACTGCAGTCTGCCTAAAGTTGAAAAGGAAATGCTTTACAGGAATTTAAAAAAAAATAATACATTAAAAAAGTCTTAAATACATTTGAAAAACTTTTTCAGTGTCTCTTCAAATCAGTCTCAAGAAGTTCAGCTGAAAATTCATTTCCTCTCAGAAGACCTGCTCTCTGCCATTATGGCTCCTATCTGCTGACTAGGTCTGAGCAGTGTGTGGAGCAAACAACATAGTGGGGTGCGTCATCATCTGTCATGTGGGAGCTCAGGCCATTGCCGTTAGCTGGGCCACACATGGGAGTGCAGGTGGGATTACAGGTGCCCTTAAGTCTGTGTAGGTACTCTGCATGGACAGGCTTGTGGCTCTGCAGCACCCTTATGGCTTCATCGACCTTGAACCACTTCCTCTTCCTTCCTGTGAAGAGATTCAAGTAAAGTTGAATTGTTTGCATGTGGCTCACACAATCAGTGTTGTGCTTAATGACACTTCAATACAATGTGTGGGAAATTGTTTTAAGTCCGTAACACGTCCATCCTGATAGATGCATAACTGCTAATATGATATTGATAAATATTCGTAAAAGATCACAATAAGGTCTTGATTAAGGTAATCTAAACAAGGAACAAGAAACAAAACATTTCTCAGCATATGATTACAACATTTCAGATATTAGGTCACAGGAAACCATAAGCTCGTCCATCCCTTCTGCTCATTTCTCAGTTGGCACATCCTCGATTCCTTTCCTCATCTCCTTGCATCTTGGTCCCTCCCATCAGAAATGTGATCACAGGAGGAGAGGAAGAAAGATGAGGAGAGAGATGAGGCAACAGGCTGTTAGCAAAATGACACATCTTTGTTTCACAACTGTCATTTTAAGGCAGTTGATATCATGTTATGATCTTGGTGAGCTATATACTTTTAAAAAATATTAAAGAACACTCTGAAAACACATCAGAGAAAAAAAAAAATCATGCCGCACATCTATACTGATATGGACTGGGTAATGTGTTAGGAACGAAAGCATGCCATATCGTTTGATGGAAATGAAAATTATCAACGTACAGAGGGCTTAATTCAAGACACCCCCACATCAAAGTGAAAAGATTCTACAGCATGCTAGTCTATTTTCCCGAAATGTCACTGCAGCACCTCAAAATAGAACTCCGTAATTTGTATGGCCCCCACATGCTTGTATGCATGCCTGATAATGTGTGCACAACAGATGGTGTCCAGGGGGATCTTCTCACAAGTTGGACCAGCACATCACTGAGCTCCTGCACAGTCTGAGATGCAACCTGGCAGCATCGGATGGACCGAAACATAATGTCCCACAAGTGTTCGAGTGGATTTAGGTCAGACAAGCATGGGGCCCAGTAACATGTATCAGTTCCTTCGTCCACCAGGAACTGCCTGCATACTCTTACTATTACACCATGAGGAACCCTGACCCGCTGCACCAGCATTGGGTTTGACAATGAATATAATCCCGATATCTAATGGTCAGGGTGCTGTTGCCTACCCCATAGAGCTCTGTGTGTCCCTCCATGGATAAGCCTCTCCACACTTTCACTAACCCACCACTAAATCAATCATGTTAAACAATGTTAAAGGTAGCATAACGCTCTCCACAGCTTCTGCAGACCTGGTGGACCAGCCAATTCTTGTAAATGCCAGTTGGGCTCCACAATGGCAGGCAGTGAGCGCAGGGTCCACTAGACAATGTTGAAGTCTGTTTCTGATTGTTTAGTCAAAGGTATTTACACCAGTCACCTGCTGGAAGTCAGGTAAAGCTCCATCCTGTTCATAAAGGAACAGATACTGGTCCTGCTGATGGGATCTCCCTCTAGGAGATTTGGACTACATGGGAAACTTCTGTAGAGTCCGAGTCCAGGCATCACCGCATGCTGCCGGTAGTGATACTGACCCTAGCCAATGGAGGGAAAGAATGTGGATCATTCCTGTTTTGTTAGTTGTCTCATTGTTGCCCCTCTAGTTTACCTCTAGTTATTAATTTCAATAACACCAAAGCAGCAGAGTGGCTGTAGCTCAGGAGGTAGAGCACCTACTGATCGGAAGGTTGGTGGTTCGATCCCTGGCTCCTCCAAGTCTGCATGCCAAGTATCCTTGGGCAAGATACTAACCTCAAGTTGCTCTCCGATGCATCCATCGAAGTGTGAATGTAGTTAGAAAGCACTAAGTATAGAGAAAGTGCTTGTGAGAATGGATGTGTATGGGTGAATGTGGCATGTTGTATAGAGCGCTTTGAAGAATCCATTTACTTAACTGACCAGATCAATACCCCAGAAGTTTAACTGGTAGCAGGTAAAAACTCTTCAGAGAAAGATACACAATGATACACCGGTGAATCCTAGATAATTGCTCCTCAGACAAACCTCCTCTCTTCCGTGTCCTTCAAATGCATTTAAGCAACTAAAACATTTCTTAGGGCAATACAGTGAAAATAACTTGCACAGTGGAGAAGATGAGGTGCAAATCAGAAAGAAAAAAAAAGATAAAAGGCCCATAATGAAGCTCTTGATTTGAGCACTATGGGTCGTACACAGGAAATAAGCGTAACAAACAAATCCAAAAAAGGCACAAGGCAGAAAACAGGAAAGGGCAAAGTATCCAACATACAAACAAGGCAGAGTTAGCAGGAACTAGCTGTGGCAAAGATTAAGGAAAGGAGTGTGCGTACTGCAAAGACTCAGTGTTTAGATGATTAGGGTCAGGTAGTGCTCAAAATGCATGAGATTGAAAATGAAGGAGACTCAGACTGGACCCAGTCCATAGGTGCAAACATAGAAATATAATAGTATTTTTAAACTTAGCAAAGACTTCTTGAACAAATTTTGGATACTAATATCCACAAAGCGAACCACACTGTGTGTTAATTGTATTTAAAATGCTCCAAAGGGCATGCCACCATTAAGCAAACATTGTATAATTTGTCACAGAGAGCCTGAATAAGCGCTGAGTGAGACTGCTGAATGAAAGGATGACAAAAGGATCATTTTATTCACCACACACAAAAATAAACTGTGCATGTCATGGCACCAGTGGGTGTCGGTGTGGACATGGGCATACTTCAGACAGCCCTAAACCCTAAAAAAAGTATCTTCCATAAAAATGATCTGTCCAGCAAAGCGACAGCTGGAAGTTATTTATACTTTATTCAAACTCATCTCCTCCCATTCAATTCCAGCACTTTGCTAAAGGGATTTGCCATGCTCTGTGATAACTGGAGCCTGGTGTGATAATGAGGAGGAGGATGCCTTCACTTCATGTTGGCACCCTGAAGAGTGCCACCACTACCAGCATTTAAGGAGGCGAGGGAGTCAATTCAACCTGTAGTAGTAAACCCTGTCTGTTCAGTCGCAACCCTCGTGTAGGGCAAAAGAGGACAAGTAAGGGGGGCTGCTGTGGTCAGTGATGATAACTGGAAAACAGCTGGGCACAGCAAACACTCCTCCCCCTTATGAACAGGCTGAACTCTTACTTCTGTGGGTGAAGGGAGTAAACGGCCACAACCACATTTTCCAGTCCAGTTAGAAATAGTTTACAAGTTACTCAATCCCGGGAAAGGGTATTCCATTTAAAATATCAGACAGTGAAAACATCCATGAAAACATATCTAAACATGTACATCCACCTTATATGCGTTACAGTTTAGAAAAACATTCTATGTTAACTTAAAGTCAACATAGATATTGGCGACGTGTAACGAACCGCTTGCTATATTAGAGATCTCCATTCGAGCATACTTAATGTCTGACCTACATGTAATCACAACATACACCCACCAGCAACTTTATCAGTCACACCAGGCTAGTACCAGGCTGGACCCCCTTTGTCTTCAGAACTGCCTAAACCCTTTGTGGCATTGATTCAAACGATGCTCAGTTGGTATCAAGGGGTAAACGTGATGAGGAAATAGCTCCCACACATTTACACCACCAGCAGCAGCTTGAACTGCTGACACAAGGTAGAATGGATCAGTGCTTTCAAGGCGTTCATGTCAAATTTTGACCCTGCTGCCCGCAGAAATTAAGACTCATCAGACCAGATGTTTTTCCAATCTCATGTTGTCTACTTTTGGTGAACCTGAGTGAATTGTAGCCTTTTCTGTTCTTAGCTGACTGGCTGAGTGCCACTTTTTAGCTGTAAAGTCTAGAGATGGCTGTGTGAACAATCCCAGCAGATCAGCAGCTTCTGAAATACTCAGATCCACCTGACACCAACAACCACGATACATTCAAAAAAAAAATCACGTTAGCTCCCTATTCTGATGCTCGGTTTGAACTTCAGCAGGTCATCCTGACCATGCCCACGTGCCTAAATGCACTTGGTTGCTGCCATCTGATTGGTTGATTAGATGAGCATTAATGAGCAGTTGAACAGGTATGCTAATATAAATCAATTTAAACCAGTTTATTTACAATTCAGGCTGAATTTGTGAAAAAATAAAAATAAAATCTACAGCTAAATGAAGTGTTGAACTGCACTGCGGAAAGTTATGAGCACAGTTGCATGTCATTTTATTTTGACAATCAGCCAACACAGGATGAAGGAAGAGGCAAAAAGACAATACAGCCATTGTGAAAGACATAATCTGGGAAACTGCTACTCAGTTCATGAATCTGTTATTCATGTTTTCCATAAAACAGACACATGGGCAGACATGTTCAATTGTCCAATTGTTCTGTTAAGAATTTTAGATCAGGGGTGTCAAACCTAATGCCCGGGAGCCAGAATCGGCCGGGTAAGGATTTCAATCCAGCCCACTTGATGGTTTTGGAAAATGTGAAGGATGGCTTCAACTGTGGACTATTATCTGCTTTACTTTATTTCCTACTGAAAAAGACCTGCTCCCATGCCATTCATATTACACCAAAGTAAAAGATAATTAATCGAAAAGTACCTGTTTTTATCTATAATAGAAATTTCTGTTTTGTTTTTTTACAATGGGTCCACAGTAACAGAAACATTTCTTCATCTCAGTTCTTTCTAAACGACAAACTTTTGAAATTGCACTTCTTTTTTAGTATTAAGACATCTGAGGGATTTAATGTGTAGTTAAACTTCCTTAAGTGGATTGGAAGTAGGGGTTTCAGTCTTCCGCCCCATTCCAGATCAAAGCTGTATGTGGCCCTCGGTGTAAAATGAGTTTGCCATCCCTGATTTAGATCAAATGAATCAGTGGAGCTGTTACACATTCCTCGTTGTGTTTTGTTCCTCTTCATTCTGCTTATGGAGTCATCTTATGTGTGCCACCTTCAAAGGCAGTAGATTATCTGAAGACTAATGCTATGTATGAGTTTATAATCCCTTTCACATTTATGCGAATCAAAATGTGTAACCTAAGCACTTAGTTGAGGCATGTTTAATGTGAGCAAGTGATTCTGGTAAAAAAAAAAAAACCTTGCCAATGCATGATCTTAAGCCAAGATCTTGAACTAAGAGACTGAAAGCCCTGAAACTCAACCCTGAAACAGAACATGTAATGCAAAAAGTTGCTAAAACCTTTTGCTTGCTTTTGTTTTTTTGTTTTTTTGAATAAACCACAGGATCTCAAAAAACATGCATATGAGGGATGCCCGTAAAAAGGAGAACACAAAAAAACCCCTCAAAAATCTTGTTACCACAGGAATATTTTTCACTCTTTTCCCCTTGGCTGCTAGAATAAGACAAAGAGGGACACAGAGGCATACCAATGTTCACAGAGTCTTCCCAGTCTTCCAGCATCTCCGTCACCACGAGGGTGTAGACATAAGTCCTGTGCTTTCTGTCTTGATTGTGCTGCAAAGGTTTACATGAAGAGAAAATGAATTTATGTTTTTCTGACAAACCACCAACGCAGTGCGTGCAAAGCCTTCATTAAAAAAGGCAAAAACTGTGATTAGCCGTACCATTTCTTTTATAGAAACTCCATGAACTAAACAAGTTGATTGTCTGACCACAGACATACAAAAACGCTAGGTGCGGCAGTAGGATGATTTTATACAGCACTATGTATCGCGACATGATTACAAATTACAATTTTTCATAACATACCTCGAATATCCCAAGCAGTCTGCCGAGCTTTCCCTTTACACCAGCCTGCACACATAAATCAGAGTCATTATTAAAAGTGATTGTCCACAAGTCATAATCTAAAATATTCAGGTGAAACTGTCCTTTCAACACACTGTGCAGCGAGATCACTTGGATTCGCGTCATATATGATCCCAGGTAGACATAAACATAGTCTAAATGACAGAAACACGAGACAGGGGGCTTAGCTCAAGTATAGTACACAGTTAGGACACAGCTATCATTTACAGTATCAAACCATAACAGACATCCCGGTCATTGCTGTAATGTCTTCCAGACTTATTTAAAAAAGCACACTAAAATGCACACAACGGCCTACAAGGCTTTACAAATTTATGCACAAATAAAAATTAACAAATGAGGCTCAATCCGCTTTGAATCGCCTTTATCCTGATCTGCGTCAGCTCCGTGAGGCGCAGGATGTGGGCAACTGGAACCCCTTCCTAAATGTCACTGCCATACTTCAAAGCTGTCAGCACACTGCTATCCATGTCAGAAGCTCACAGCTCACTTTGCTGTGAACAATCTGGCCAGCCACCAGCAGCCTCCTTTCTTAAACCACAGCATGATAAGCTGGCTATCCATGCATCCTTGCCACATATTTCTACTTCTGTTCTGGATTTTTGGCTGGTAGAACAACAGGAGCGACTTGTACTGTGAACAGCGATGACACTTCTGACAAAGATTTACTGATTTCACTTTCAGTTTAATGTGTCTGTCCTTTGAGCCCATGATGCATACATTGCAATCAGAATATATGATACTGAGATGGAAATTAGCCCCCCAGTGTTCAAAGTCATGAAATGTCATGATTTTTTTTATTTATCTTCCACTTAAATAATGAGATAATTCCTTGGAAAACCAATAAACATTATCAGCTGACAACTGATAAAATTCCCTATACTTATTACTTTTTAACACTATGGTAACTTTGTGTCACTTCCAGTATTAATGGAGCCAAAAATGGTTACTAATCTCAAGGAAACTTCAGAATGCTGCTTTTTATATTGTGCTCTGCATGAAAAATAACACTGTCTCCGTGAGAGGTGATTATGGAAAAGTCTGGAGCCACCTCTCATTTCTTTACATTTTGATTCCCAAGTACTAAAAAGTGGTTTTGACCAATAGTTCTCCAGGCTTTATTCAAAGGATTCTTTGTTTGTTTGTTTGTTTGGACATTAGTTGCTTTTTTTACTCATTTTAAGTCAGCTTCTTGTACCTCATAATTTTCATATGAAAGTTTTTGGTTTTGTTAAGGCAAACCTGTGAATAATTCAAGCATAGAAAAGGCAAATAGCAGGCAACTTAGCAAAGATCCCATTTTTAATTGTATCTTTAGCCACTTCGTGTCCTTTTGCAAAAACAAAATCATTTGTATGCATTTCTTTAGTTTATGGAAAATGATAGCACAGCTTGAAAAATACAAAACAGCCTTTTTTACACCTAAAAAATGTATCTACAGCAGTTAGTGGCAATCTGTTTAACATGGTAGATTCACCATGTAATACATGACATGAAAATGAACCCAAACATACTGCCAGTGCAGTAAAATCATACCTGGATATGAAAACAAACAATGAAATTCCATCAGTCATGGATTTGCCCCCTCAGAGCCCGGACTTCAACATTATTAAAGCAGTGTAAGATCATCTTGACAGAGAACGGTATGAACGGCAGTCAACATCCAAGATGAGCTTTAAATGTCCTTCAACAAAAACACGTATTCCCACATACGTTTCAATAAGTCACTGCACCTATTTCCTATTTTCATTGCAAAATATAAAGAAATGGGGTGTCGTTCATCACTTTGCGCAGTACTGTATAGATCCTAGGCTTTAACCAACAATGCATGCAAACAATAGAAACGTCTTTATGGGTTTAATTAATGAACAATCAATTCACCTCTTCATACACCTCCCTGACAGCAGCTCCACAGGGCTCCTCATCAGGCTCCATTCCCCCTCCTGGCACGATCCACTGGTCTGGATGGCGACTGCTGCTCACCAACAGCACCTGCCAAGGAGAGAGAGCCCTCCGTCAGGCCTCTGCTACTGAGGTTGGGGTGCAAAAAGCACAGCAACAGCATGCCCGAGTTCAGCGTCCGTCAGCACGGACGCGGTGGCCAAACGAACTGCTCGTCATTCAGCAGACGCATGTCGAAAAAATCTCGCATATCATTCCAGTCATTCACTTCATTTACTTAATGCAACATGAGCGCTGTGCGAATGATGCTGATCTGCGTGTCACAGTCTTTGGCACATAATTTAAATAGACGAATGAGAACAACTAATGTAATGATTCATGTATCGGCCTGTTTTTAGTTGTCAGTGGATTTAATGAAAGATAATTCATAATCTATTAACAGTACGGCCAGCTTTAGCGTTTTGAGTAGTACCAACATCAAATGTTATATTTAATCCCACTGTGTTTGAAGAAGTACAAATCAACGTTCTAACCCAAAGAAATATCCTAAAGCTGCACACTATTTTTAACTGCCATCCAGTCAATGCAGTTTGATGTTTTGATGACGAAGTTACTTGACCTTAAACCCAATCCGGCATCACTGACCCACATTGAGTTCATGTAGGACTGCCTTCTGAAACCTTAACACTGTTCAACCAACTCACTCTCCAGTCAGGCTAACACTCACCTGTGTTAAAAACGCCAGTCGAATAAACCCTTTCCACATTAAACACAGCTGTCACAGCAGAGGTTTCCCTTCTGTAAGATCTTTCTGCTCACGCTCCAAAATGGAAGCAACTTTGTGAAGCGCCTAATGGTAACATCTTCATATCATCAAAGCTGATCTCTTTGGGTAATAAATGCTTAATGTCATTTATCACCCAATATATATGGGTGATATATACCCAGTGTATATGAGTGTAACACTTTCTCACTCTGCTCCTTTATTTACAAACTCTCTAGAAACCATGTGATTTATTTTTAACAGTGCAACTCTGTCCATATCTATGAGTGAATAAAATACTAAGTTATTAAGGTAAAAGTCACTTCAATGTCCAAGTTCATACTCTTCCACAGCAGACACATCTCTCTACGCATTTACTCTGCTCAGTGAGCTAATTTATTTAGCCATGGCATTGCCAAAATCTTTGTTAAAATCAAATGTATGTGTTTACTCCACATCATGGCTTCTACTTTCTATGGCTACTCACATTAAGCCACAAAGAGGAAGGCCAATTATTTTAGCTGGTTTTGTATTCCAGGTGACACATCTCATCTTAAACGAATCCGCGCAGGGTCCAGGGGACTGTAGAAACACCGCAAGTTGCCTCAGTGACACAAATCCACACAACGTACACATGCATGCGCAATTTCACACAAACGGCATGTGAAGCACGTAGGCACTTGTACAGACACAGCTACTCGCACACAGACAACAGGCTTTCCAAAAACCACCAGATCAGCAGTTACCTCTCTGTATCAAAACAAAGAGCTTAGGAGAGGAGGTTAATGACCCCGACAGGCACCAAACACGATCGGGGGAAAGTGAGGAAGCGTTTGAAGTGGGCAGAACCCCGACATCTTTACAGTCTGATCCCAGTCCGGCCAAACTCTACGGGCTGAACGATGTGTTAATGCCTTTCAAAAGAAGCTGAATTTAAAAGGCAACCTTTGTCTCAGTAAATGCCTTAATTAAGGATTCACTGCTTGTAAAATACTTACATTGGTGTCTAAAAATAACAATTTATCAGCAAATAATAATAAGAATACATTTTATCTATAGGCACCTTTTCAAGTAGGAAGCAGAAACTTAAAATTAATGTGATTAAAGGGAAACCAGTGAAACTGTTGAAAGACAGGAGTGATATGTTCTGTGGAAAGGGTTCAGGTAATGACAAGAGGAGCAGTATTTTGGACCAGCTGAACTCTAGAGGGAAGCCTGTGTGGATACAATTACAATAATCAATACCAGATGCAACCGGTCAAAATAAAAACTTTGACAGACCTTCAGAAAGCCTGGAGAACTTTTTCTCAAGACAAGGCAGGCTTTGTGGAATATAATATAAGGAAATCAGTTACGGATCAAGACTTTTCCACAGAAATGTGTGGTTACATAGCTGTGGACATGTAAAAATAAGTAAATGAATAAATATATGACGTATCAATATGTTGTGAAACCATACATCAGGTGCCACTGAGTGGGGGTGGGGGGATGTCCCCGGACAGATAACTGGTGCATCTCCCCACTGTACCTCTATCCAATAAAAATGTATATACAAATTTCAATTTAAAAGTCAACTCCATTCTGATAAGTGATAAGCTGCTTCTGCTCAGCTCTGCTGTTTCACTAAAGCGATGGTTGGGGCTTTAAGTCAGTCACTTAAAACAGATTATTATGGATTTCCAACTCTTGTTTGGTTTTTATATGTACCCATTTTCAGTTATCTCAACTATAAAAGCAGGAAACTAACTAGGCACATAATTCTTTTCTTTCTCTCTTTGCCAGCCATATTTTTCAAGTAACCTATATTTGAAAACAGCAAAATAAAACTGGAAATTCTGTAGTGTGCCACCCCAATATTTTTGGTGACCTCCATACGGCTACCCCTATGAAAAAATTCTGGAGGCGCCCCTGGTAGGGGCCCAGGCACAAGGAGCAGGAAAGGAAATCTGTCAGGGAGTAGCAAGTGGCTGTACCTTGTTTCTATAAATTGCAACTCATGGGTCACTTGGAGTTTAGCACACTGTAACAGCCACTCAGCCCCCTACTCATCATATCACATGTGGCCCAGAGTTAGTCTGCATCACTAGGCAGACACATTTAGACCCAGCACAAAACAACGGTAATATTAACAAACTTAAAAGTTTCTTATCCAAACTGGCGCATCACTGAATAATAATTTGTGTTTCAGTCAATGTCTGTGCTTGTTATATGACATACATCACTACGTACACTTGCTGTATACTTACACATTTCCACGAATGACAAAATAATAGGCGACTGATTACACGTAACACGTTAAAACCTCATATTCAACTCTCTAATTTAAAGACAAACATTTCTTTCACGTGAGTAAAATGGCTGAGAACATTTGCTTTATGGTTGCGTCATCATTTGAATCAAAAAGTAGAACCAACTGGCCTCAGGAGTAGCAGGTATCTCAGCAAAATTAGATTTAGTAAAACCGCATCAGCTGATGTGTTGGAAAACAAACTCTGCACTACTTTATTTATGACAGGAGGTGTTTATGGGCCCATAGCTGTGAAATATATGCAGAGACTGCTCTGCGTTAGAGATAACTGGGACGATTTTATGAGTAATCTGGATGTCCTTCTTGGCAAGAACGTGAAAAACGATGATCTCCTGTTGAGTGCCAGCTGCAGCCACACACCCTGTAACAGGTCAAATATTTGCCCCCCTCCAACCTTCACCTCTGCCCAGCACCTCAATTAAAGACGAGCCACGTGAACGCGCTCCCCACACACTGAAAGTCAGCCAGACGCGCGATAAAGCAGGCTGCTGTACTGTCAGGCACAGCGGTTAATTTGGGACTGTGTCAAAAAATAGAGCGTGTTAATAAAAGCCCTCTCCTCCTACAAATGGTTTAACTTCACAGCTTACCTCGTCCTCTGTTTCGTTTTTGAAACACAGACACGCCGCTCTCCTCTTGAACCCTTCGACGTCGTACGTCCTGGTCTGGTTGGGCTTAAACTTCATCATATAGAGGCCTTTTTTTCCGGAGGCAGGGAAGTGTTGGGAAATCGGGCTTCAACCAGTCGCTGATTAAAGTGCTTTCAGTAATATCCAACAATATCGCAGCTTGGCTTCTTCAGACACTTCCAGACAAACCATGCAGCTGGTCCATTCATTCCTGCGCTCCGAGCGCGCGTCAGGCTGCATCTGGTGTTGTGCTCTGCTGCTTTAGTGCCGCTGTCAACACGCAGACTGGCTCACATCACGCTGTGGTGGCTGAGCTGCGACCAGCTGACCTGAGAGCTGCGCAGCAACAAGCCCGTCAGTCCCCACCTTACATCCGTGTTTATCACTGCGACGCACAGGCCGAACAGAAACGAGTCTCCTTTATGGAAGAGAAAAGGTGACTGAGCTGCGAGATGGAGTTGCTGTTAAAACTCTCCAAATCCAGCCAGGATGGACTTGAAGAGCGTGTTAATGCCCACGATAATAAGTGCACTGACTCATTTTTAATGCAGAAAACCGAACAGATCCAAACATTTCATGTCACAAATAACACAGAAAAGGTCAATTATTTTTTAAAGGCTTAATGGCACACAGATGATTTTATTCATTGTGATTTATTTATTTATTGCACGAGCACGTGAGTAAAACGCTTACCTGTTGCGTCTTGATTCTTGAGATAGTCAAATTTTCCCTTTAAACGAACAAAACTAAAAAATGCAGGCTTGCGTAAAACTTTCAAAGCTTGGGGTGCCCTCTAGTGGAAGTAGGCAGTCCTTATTTACCTGTATTCACTTGAGGAAGCAATGTGTTTAAAAAAAAAGAGGAAAAAAAAAGGTTGGGGTGTTTGTATTATTAGTGACTGTCCAAATCAGAACCAATGATAACTGGCAGCCGTTTCTGTTTGAAAGCGCTTAAGCTAAACAAATAGTCTTGATTATTATGAATAAGCCTAACATACATCCAAAGTTGCACTGACTCACACAAGGATTAAAAGGGTTTGTGAAAAGTTAAGAACTGAACCATGTTTTGCAAACACAGGTATTAAAAATCAGGAGTACAGTGTGGCAGCTGAAGTTTTCCAGGTCAGATGAAACAACTCGCAATACAGAGATCCAAGCCACATCCATGTGGCAAGTGGCAATCACTGAAGATTTTAGGCACCATGATTTTCTGTAGTTTGAAATTACTGCTTTTAACCCTGACTGGAATTCTGAATAATGCCAGTAACAGCTATAAGAACGTCATGAATTTGATTTTGTGTGGACTAAACTAGCAAATAAATGTTAATATTAAGATCTTCTTGTAGTGAACTTGAGTAGCAGGGTTTCTGCATGGTTTTAAAAATCAATAATAATGCATTTTAAGGTCTTATTGTGCAATATATTTTGCCACAACTGCAAGATGAGCATACAATTCCTTCTGATTTTCTTTGGACATTGGCTGCTATGTAACTCCTTTTCAGTCCAGTTCTTGTACCTGGCCACTTTCAGAAGAATGTTTTTGTTTCTTGAGCCACATAACACTAAGCGATCATTATTCAAGCATTTTAAGATTTAGGGAAAAAAAATCCAGCAAAGACCTGAAATAGAACTGGACAGATCCAATTTGACTTTTCGTTGATCCATTAATGTTCACTGAAATGGTCTTAGTGGAGAGGTGGCTGTCAACAAATCTTTAAGGAAGAGAAAGAGGGAGAAAAGGCTGAGGCATCCCAAATTACACAGGACCGTAAAGCAGTGGCAACAGGTTTGACGGAGGGATGAATCCTAATGTGAAATTTTGGGTTCAAACTGTCTTCAGAGGTGGTGATGAGAGAGGTACAACAGTGCTTACAGCTGTCTGCAAAACACGACAGAGGTTCTGTCATGGTTTGGGGCTCCATTTCAGTTTAGTGGTGTTCAGGATCTTGTCAAAATGATGGAATCGTGAATGCAGATTTTTATCCATGCAATACCATCTGGAAAGATCTGCCATGATTGTCAGGAGCTTCATTTTTGCCATGACAATGATCCAAAACATACTGCCAATACATTAAAAGCATACATGACAAAAAAAACCTACATTGAACATCTTCAGTCACGGTTTGGTTTGCCAGACTTCAACATTACTGCGTGGAATCATCTTAACAGAGACAAGAACAAAAAACAACCAGCATTCAAAGCAAAGCTCTGCGTGTCCTTTAAGAAGCCTGGAGAACTATTCCTGAAGACTACTTAAAGAAAATACAAGAAAGGTTCCTGAGAGAGTTCAGGCTGTGTTGAAGAATAAAGGTGGTCAGATCAAATATTCAGTCGAGCTTTTTAGAATTGTACAAACTCAGTTTTTGCCTTATGTACTGTATTTACATGTACGTTTGCATTATCCAATAAATTTCCCACTTTCCTAGCAAACTAAAAAGAAATGAGAGAAGGCCCAAGACATTTGCCCAGTACTGTAGAGTACTGAAAAAAAGATTGCCATCATGCATTGAAAGCAGTTCCAATACTAAGTATTATCTGGTAAGTATGAATGCCATTCTAGTGACAAATATCTAATACCAGCTCAAAAAAAAAAAAAAAGTGGTGGCTGATAAAACTCGCTCTTAAGTTTGCAATTTTTCATTTCACTTGGATTCCAGTTACCTTTTTTGTCGTATAAATATTTAACATCCCAAAGTGTTACTATGGTTCCAGTCCTTTTATTACAGATTGGAAGAAGTATAAAAACACCCTGGATTGTTTTTGTTGACCTAAGAAGTACGCAACATGCCGCTAAAGATAATGAAAGGCTGCATTTTGCAGATATATAAAGCAGTTACTGTCTTTGTGTTAGTCAGCACATTGCTGGTATGCCTGCCTCCATTTGTGTTTGCACATTTCTATAAATCACTGCATTGTTTTTCCATTTTCCTAAAATGTAAAGAGGAAGTTGGGTCTATAATCTGTCTCTCCCCGTTTGCCCTGTAATGGCTTTTCGCCTTATGATAGATATATAGGGTTAGACTCCACCCCCGTCCCCCTTGAACGGTGAACTGTCCGTAACTGTGTGTGTACAAATTACAAACCAACTTGGACACAATGTACCACATGTCCTATTAAGAATCACAGTCAGGTATTTATTAATCAACAGAATTTATTTACAGAACATAAAAGTTTGTAGTTGGACTGTTTCATATCATTCTGAGAGCAGGAAAACATTTCACCTTCAGATTAACAAAGAATGAATTTACACAAAGTGAAATGAATACAGACTTTACAGCCAAAGCCCAGTCACAACAGTCAAGAGTCAAAGCCTTCATTGTACTTTTGGTGTGATCTCCTCCACAATGCAGCATCTCTTCTCACACACCAATCACAACACCCCAGTTCCCGCTTTCATCAACTGACTGTTCAAATGTAACCGCACTGCTTTTTGAAATAAATGCCAGTGAGAGCAGGTAAACCACAGAGTTTTGCAGAATTAAACTGATGACGTAAGGGGCCGAAAAGCAAGAGCAGTTAGTATGCTAACAGCAAGAAAAGATTCACATGTAAAAGACAAGATATGGTAACAACACATACTGTATGTGCTAAAACTAAAGAAAGGTCCACAATGTCCACTGAACCCACCACACACACTCTCATGCCATCCACAAAAGTACTGTACATCCAAGTCCACACTGAGAGTGGCTGGAAAAGTTAATGTGACAGTGGCAGGCTCAGTTTGGTTCTCAGTCATCTCAGTTTATATTTAACAAATCCAGATTGACTCGAAGAAGCAGCACAGCGATGATTGTTTATGCGTCCTACTGGGCAAACCTACACAGGACTAAACCTTCTCCGGGCGAGCGCCTACAAAAACAGTGGGCTAGTAGAGTTAGCTGCTTTTAATGAACAGCAACACGATAAAACAAAGTTAAAAGAAACATAAAAAGCATATCATGTTATCCACATCTAAGCCAGTCTCTAACTCAGCTTATTCCCCTGCTCCAAAATTGTGCCCCCTCCCCCCTGGAAAAAAAAAAAACGTGTGATGCAAGACACCTTTTCCCCTCAGTGGACAAAGAAAGCTAGATGAGTAGATCTAAAACCTCTGCCCATGCATTTGAATAGTAGTGAGTCAGGACAAAGACAGCTCGTAATTTCTAGTGTGCATTTAAATCACCAAATGTCAGCAGTATATATATATATTTTGTGTGTGTACTTTTAGTGTGTATACATATATAAGAAAATCTGACATGTATATACACTAAAAGATGGTGTCCTTTAAATGCAAATAAAGCAGGAGGTGGTCTTGGCAGCACATGAGTTGTGTTCATACAATTTGCTTCCACTTCTGTCTCCAAGAGGCTGCTTTACACTTCATTTTTGTTTCCAGCATAAAGCCTGGTCCATGTCTTGGCTGCAAAGTAAAATAAAAAATACATCAATTTTAAAGGAAAACATAACTTAAAAGAAAAATATTCCATATTAATTGTGTGTGATATAAGTGACTTGTTTATATACAGAGATGAAGTGGCACGATTATGGGTAATGCTCCTGCATTATCATCATCATGCCATAATTTTAGTCAAGGATCAACATCACAACTGCCCAATCACATTGTTGTGATGTCATAACATTGCAATGTGGGGAGGGGGGAAAGAAAAAAAAAAAGGTCACAGCTTATATAAAACTCTCTTTGATAACGAATGGTAAGCATTTCAAGTGTTCTCTTTAATAATCTTTAATTTCGAGACTATAATAACTTTATTATCAAATCAGGATTGCTGTTACCTAAATTTGGTTAGTCATGGTGGTTTGCCTGTGATAGTTTTTAAAAAGCATTTGCTAACTTCTTCATAACTGCAATGTTGATTGTGGACCAAGATTATCATAACAACGTAGGAGCATCAAACTGGCTAACAACATCATGAATAATGAGGTAAATCTTATCTTTACACCACGCCAGATCATGGCTCTCACCGGTTTCTATGGCTTCAGCTTCACTGCTCTTCCACTTCTCTGCAACATCATTTGCTAGGGGATCGTCAGGGTTGGGTGCACTTAGTAAAGCCTGGATTGAGAGCAGCACTGTACGAATCTGCAGAGCTGGTGACCATTTATCTATTAAAAAATAAAAATAAAAACAAAGACAAGTGTAGTCAAATAAAAAAATGCATACAGGCAAAACACATGAAAAGTGACCAATGATCCTGTTTAGGAAGAGACTTTTAATAAGAGACAATATATTCTTTGTCTCTGATATGATGGTGAAAGGCATGATTAATATTCTCATAGATTTTTAAGCTACAATACTGGCTTACCTTTCAAAATGTCAAGACATATTCTTCCCAACTTGTCAACGTTTGG